TGGTGGCCAGGAGGCAGATACGCAGAATGTGCCCTTTGGAGATGTAAATTATTATATATGCCTGAATGGTTTTTTTGTTTGTTTTTAAAAGGCTAAAGTGGATAGAGAGAAATATTGTTAACTGATGGTACATGGAGGGGATTATAATCATTGTAATGAAACAAGGTGTATGATTTGTTGAATGTAAAACTATGATATGCCCTGTAAACTGTCACTCAACCTACAATAAAAACCTTAAATTAAAAAACAACAACATTCCTTTATACTCGTATCCTTTTCCCATCCCTAATGCCTAGAAACCAACACTATAGTTCTCTATCACTAAAGTTTTGTCTTTTGAGAGTTTCATATAACTGAAATCTGTCATCTTTTGTGGTGGGTTCCTTTCACTCAGCAAAATGCCCCTGAGATTCATCCGAGTCACTGCAGGTATCAAAAATTCATTTATTTTTATTGCTGTGTAATATTCTATTTTATGGATATAGCACAGTTTCAAAAGGATTCTTTAATCTCACCATTCCAACTTCTTCCCAATGTCTAGCACAATGCCTTTTCAATAATAGCTGCTCATTCAGTATTTGGTAATTGAACAGATGAGATTTAAAAGATGTGTAAACCAATAAACAGAGTCCTGATGTGGTGCTGTAGGATAAGCACTGGACTGCTAACTACAAGGATGGCAGTTCAAACCCACCAGCCATTTTCATAAACTTTTTTCAGGGTCTCTCTGAGTCAGAACTATAGATGACACTTAAAAACAATAAACCAGTTGCTATCAGATTGCTTTCAACCCATGACAACCCCATGTGTGTCAGAGTAGAACTATGTCCCATAGGGTTTTCATTAGCTGGTTTTTCTAAAGCAGATTTCCAGGCCTTTCTTCTGAGGCACCTCTGGGTGAACTTATACCTCCAACCTTTTGAGAGCATTAACTATCTATACAACCCAGGGACTTCAAAAGATACAAGAGGTCCCAATGCAGTACTTTCTGAAGTGGAACATTCCCACTTCAAAGGACATGCAGATCAGCTCAGGAGCTGCTAGAGAACAGAAGATATTTCTTGAAAGACAGACCAGCAGGAAAAAAAAACAAAATCAGCAGTCTGTTTGCCTATTACAAGAACAAGCAAGCTGTTCGCCAGGGAGCCATCAAAGCAAGCAATCAAGTCCCTTCAGGACAAACCCTTTTCCAAGACTGAAACTCAAAGGGAACATACAAGCAGGCATGTAAGCTCACTGGCAACCCTGTTGGTCTACTTATGAGTGAAGTGGGGAAAAGGCAACAATGAAGATATGGGCTAAGTTCAACCATGTTCCATAGACTCCTGTCAACCTTGAGATGAGAGGGATAAGAGGAAGGGCTGGTTGGTCTGAAGTGTGGTGAGACTTGGGGACTCCAGAGCCCATGGACAAGGACCTACCCACGCAGGGCTAGAGCTGAGTGAAGCATCCAGCTGATATGAAGTGGGGGGAGGTGTGCAAGAATGCCCAAACTTGCAGATAGTACCCATTTGATCTAGCTTGGATGACTTGATGA